TCAAGCAAGAACTGGTACGATAAGAATCATTCATCATATGAATATAGTTAATGAATATGAGAAAGAATTTTCAATAAAATTTGCACAACTCTTTCATGTAAATAATAACCAAATAAGGAATAAATGGTCTTGATCTCGTTGTCAAATATGGGCATTCTATTCAAGTAAATGGTGTAAGTAAACATACCCAAATATTCTCATTCTCAAACATTTTATTTTCTTTCAGTCTCACCTTTTACTTCTTCTTTTTCGGCTCACTATCTATCCGCCTTTCCCGTTTCTCATAATCATTACTGTTTTTAAAACTGATGTTCAGCTTTTGCGTAGGCCAATGGTTTACGAACTATTCGGTCTCGTTGACGTTGTCCTAGGCAGAAGCTTAGTAACAGATTTATTCATGAGTTATAACATTGACAATAAAACAAAAGCTGATAGCAGCGTGATAACCCAAACATAATGTTGGTTAAGCAACAATAAGAAAACGAGGAGAACAATCAAACAGATCCACAACTTCACACTTGATGATTGATACTCTCCTTTGCCAGTTGCCTATAAGTCATTTTTGAGTTTCATCTTTTCATCTTCCATAATTAAACCTTGAAGACTCTTTCATCGACCGTTTCTATGGCTTTTTTCGCTCCCACCCAAGCATGTGGTCCTTCCAAACGATAAACATAAGGAACAGTGGGCCCAAGTAAAACCTAATACCCAGTATGAATGTTTTCAATTACACTTTCACAGATACCTTCAGTGCAAGCTTAAAATCTGTTTTGAATAGTTTTTTCAGGTTGGGATTACAGCCAATTAGATCAGCGAGCTCATCCATATATCTCACATAATCTACTTGGATGGTATGTCGTCGACTCTCTACGTATCTTAAGCTCATATCATGTTTTTTTTCAAAAACATCTCTCTCCATCTAAATAGAATAGTTGCGAGATTACCACTCAAACTATTATTGTTACCTCTTCCTTACTAGGCAGCACACATTTTTGTCCGAACAAATTTTCATAGAAAAGTCTTGTCTGCATCTCAGCAATTGGCATAATCGAGCCAAAAGGCTGCAAAGCAAGAGAACGATTCAAGAATATGCCAGAGACAAAAAATTACTTGAACTAGTCCAATCACTGCTATTGTATTGAACTTAGACGTTTCTAATGGATACATGTATTTGTACAAATTCACATGGTTATCATTCACTGGAATGAGTTTTCCATTTTCAGCCATTGGAAATGAAAATGAGAACCCTGTAGCTAGAATGACCTAGAGAATAGAAATTATTAAGTTTATCTTCTACCGCATGCATTACCGCATCAACATTTTCTAATCTGCTACCATCCACAAATTTCAGTCCAGTTGCTGTAAATTCGCTGATACCTGGTTTGACACGAACAGTTCCACTGGCGATTCTGTTTGGAAGTTCATCATTCACTGTTGGATGAGCTCTGCAATGTGATCTCCTCAATGAATATACAATAGGTATGATGAACTAACCCAAAGAAACGATGAGCTGGTTTCAATCCAAAACGTTCATGATCGAAGCGTTTGTTCAATTTATGTTCTACGAAACGAGATGAAATACTACTGGGTATGTATTGTGTGAGATATCCGTTAAGTTTCCTTGAAAAACCAGAGTTTTTTGTTTCCGAGAGTGTTTGTCAATACTTACGTGCTAAGTGCCAGGTCGAATGGCTGACCGTACTCATAAATTCGATTGAGAACCCATGTGCCACGTCGAATCACAAGATAAACCTTTCAGAAAATGCTATCAATCGTTAGTATCGCAAAGTTTTTACTTGTTTGCAAATTCTGCTGAGCTCAACAGCTATATCTCCACCTGAGTTTCCAATCCCAACTACTACAACTGTTTTGTCCTCATACCCTTCAAATTTGGTCTTGATAATGTCGTGCTTCTCAAATGGTATACCTCGGTGATCTTTATAGCTGTGAGAGTGTATTATTTGTCCTTTGAAAGATGCTTGTCCCGGCCATTCAGGCGGTGTATAAGGGGTTGTGTGATGCCCCGAACATAGTAGAACAGCATCGTATTTCTCCTGATGCTTTTTATTATCACTTAAACAAATTGTTATTTCTGACTCGATTCAAGCTATACTTGTCAGTGTAATGCACAAGCCAAGATCCATCAGTTGCATGACTATCTGATTTTTCAACATTCTGAACGGTGTGGTTAAACTTAATATATTTCATGAGGCCATGATGTTTGGCGTAATCTTTCAAATATCTGCAACCGTTCAATTACAAATGGACTAGCCAGTTTTTAGTCTAAGTACTTGTACATTTCCGTGTTATGCATGAAATTAGCGGTTTCTGGAGGAGGTGGAAAATCCGAGTAAGCGGTCATCTCTTTTGATGTATTGATGACGGTCGTCTTCATGACAGACGATTCTGAACATGAAATTTTAAGGAGTTTTTAATAGAATCCAACCATCTGTTTCGGTTGGTTTATATCTCCAAAGCCCTCCAACATCGTCAGAACTCTCAAAACACTGAACGTCCACATTGTAGAGGAGAGCATGACTACAAAGAGATCTTCATGAACATACTCACATGAATATATTTGTGCAAATACTGTGTGAACTATCTGTTTGGATAATTGAAAAAAAAATTGAAATGAGTTACAATGAATATATATTCTAATTAGCTTCACGTGAAAGAAACACGTTTGAAAAAAAATCAAAAAATACTCGAACTCATTTACATATACACATGTTGACTGGATCGGTTGAAACACGCTTACCGAATAGCTGGTAAGCCAGATGCTCCAGCTCCAATAATAGCAACTTTCTTCTTCATAGCCTGTAGAAAGTTAGAGAGTAAGATGAGATAAGAGCTGCTTATATGGAAGTAGTATTATCAATATATATATATATGAATGATATTATCTTTTTTCGTCTCATTTTTTTTATCTGTTTGACTACAGTCTATTAAGTGGAGAGAGAGAGAGAGTGTTTACAGGGAGCACGGAAAAAATCTTATTGATCTCTAAAATGTTTAAGTAATAACATATTGATAAGATAATATAAGAAGTGTTAATTTGAAGTCTATTTTATTGAAGCAAAACACCAGTAGACATGTATATGGAGGTAATAGAACATTAAGCTTTGTTAGTTTTAGTTAAAGTATAATATACTTTATAGACCCGTAATTTCGTTATTTTGAAAATATATAATATATATATGAATATACACTAACTGATAGTTATTATAAATGAAATAATTAATATAATTAAATAATTCGTTGGATAGATTGTTGATTTGACGAGCTTCTTAGCTTCCTCTATTCCTCCGCACCATTCCTTTCCTTTAAATGTTTCGGATGTTTGATTAACGATGGAAACACGTAGAAAAGGAAAAACACATATTCTTGAACAATTCTTGTTTGTATCACCGAGTAACGAGAGATCAAAGTGGAATGAAGCATGATGTATGACCTATAATATGAAGTATGAAGAAAGTACAAATGAGCTATTAGGTTTGCCTGTTGAGCAAGTGGCTTTAACACTCCTCTAGAGCATCGCAATTCCGGCACAATGACAGTAATGACCTTGAATAAGCATATGTATGAGAGTTAATGAGATAAATAAAAACTTTTTTAGTATCTTTAAAGACAGAAGCTACTCCTATATAAATATTATCTTTTGTTATAAATAAATCATCAATATAGGCAATTGTATCATTGATGATGGCTGGATCTTGCGATGATGATTCTTTCGTACGAATTATTAATTCCTTTAATTATATGTTTTATTATGAATATTATATAAATTTGAATTACTTGTTTTCTTCCCTTCTCCTCAACTGACGGCAGATCTGGATGAAGACGATAGTGTATTCGAAAAGCAAACCAAGTTTTTGGAGTCAGGCCATCAAATGAGAATAGCTGCAACAATTCATTTTCATTCTTTGTCTGAGAGAAAAGGAAAGAGAAAATAAAAAATTTCTTTTTTTTTCTGGTATTGTATGAGCATCGTGTATGATGTAATAGAAATGAATGAAACTGTTACAGAAATTACATAATGAACATGGAATACTTGACATATCGGAATGTCTTTCATTGCAAGGGTCAATCCCATATTTGGTAGATTGACGACATCAATCACAATAATTGCGAATGATTAATTGAAGCTTCATCAATACAAATGTATTTATGGATGTAATTTAATAGTTTGTTAGTCCCAATTTACCTTATTAATTTTCTTAAATTACATTTAACATATGCAATTACCTGATCACGATGAGAATCCTTCAATTCGGTTTTACGATATTCAATGAGTCGATCTAAGTCAAATATCTATAAAATAATATATTATATACATATAGTTATAATAATTAAAGAATAAAATAATAGAAGAGAAGTACTTACTTGAACTGTCATATCGAAACTAGAAACGTTATTGCCATTAACCATACGTATAACTAAGGATGTTGATGTCAGTTGATGAGGTTCAAATGATGCCACACATTCCATATAAGGAACAAGATAAACTGTCAGAAATATGAGAATATGACAAGAATAGTTCATTATATATTCTTTTTCATCAATATATTCTGTAAAAGTTGAAAGTAAGTAAAGAAAATGAAATAGAACAAAATAATTTGATAAACTTCTTTTAATAAAAACACAAATTGACAATCACAAAATTATATTTAAGGAGATTGTAGTTTAAAATGAATTTTTGAATGAAAAACATTACCATAATTAGAATAAAAAAAAGTAAAAAGTAGAGACAGGAAGAGAGATTGTATATGGATAGGTGCAAGTGGAAATTGGGAGGGAGAGAGAAGGAGAGAGAGAGAGAGAGATAGAGACTTACAAGGGATTGACGATGCTGGATGAATTACAGTTGTGGATGGAAAAAGAAAATGAAAGAAGAAGAAGGAAAATAAGATGAAGGGGAGGAGAAGATGAAGAACTTTGATGACTCGCAGTTTATGAAGTATGATGAGAAGTAACAAAACATATAAGAAATATTTATATATTATAAGAAGAATGTTATATATGTGAGAAAAGATGAGTATTAAATGATGCATTTATGGATATGTACATGTAAAGAATTTCGAAACAATCTCCCTTTACTGCGAATGGGCATTGGGAGAGAAGAGAAAAGAAACAGAGGGTATGGGTGGGGGGGGATGGAGTTCGCTTTGCCGACGAGAATATCTTGATGTTGAATCGAAGCCCATATCACATAGTTTTCCCAGAAATCTTTTCAAAAATCAAATTATTTCGAGAGAACAAATGAGAAAAAATCGAAAATGAACTTGTTTGAAGGAAAAAAAAAGCGAAAAAGGATTTTGAGAAGCTAATCACCTTATGGATGATAGACAGCTATGATGTTGCCAAATGAGGAAGCATATGAAGGCAGCAGAGATTTTGGCCCAGAAGTTGTTCGATTAATTTTAGAAAAATCTAATCTTCCATAATTGGACTAATGAAACAGATGATGTTGGAGTTGTGTTGCAGATGACTCGACTAATAGCTTCAAACCCAAATATGGACATAAGCTTTTCTCTTGTTTTTCGTTCATTTTTCGGACACAATACTTCATAAGCGAAGAGCAGTAGAAAGAGATGACGATGAAGAATAGAGAGAATTAAAGAGATAAAGATAGAGAGAGACAGAGGCAGAAAGAGAAGTAAAAAGATTTTCCTTAGATCATCGTGGAACTTTTTAAGATTCGAATAAGAAGGAAAAGCCTTTGTTAAGCGGAAACAAAGGATTTCAATGAATGAAACATACAAAGATAAATCTCTTCCAGCTTGAACTTATCAAAAAAATAAGATGAATAACAAACCTTTTTTGTTTCCAAAAAAACAGAGAAAAGGGAAAAGTCTATGCTGCAACTCAATTGCCTCAGGCTATTATTAAGTTTTTAACGGAAATTAAAAGAAAAAAAAAGAGGAGAGATGGAGTGAGAGAAAGAGAGAAAATACTGAGAGAGAGAGAGAGAGAGGGAACAAACAAAAAAAGTAAAAAAAAAGTTTTTTCTTCATATTTTTTGATTTTCTCTCTCTTTCAATTGTCACTTTCTCTTTCGGCTTCTTCTTATTGTCTCCATCTTTGCTCTTCTCGTAAATACCAGTAGGGGAGAGAGGGTGGGTGTGAAAATATAAAAAAAAACCTTTGAAAGAAATCCCTTCTGCTTTCTCACTGATTCAACTTTCCACCAGTGAGTTAGAAGTTCCATAAACAAAGTTTTTTTGAAGAAAGGAAAGGAGTGAGAGAGAGAAAAAGAATATGTGACAGAGAAACAAAGATGAGGAAAGAAAGAGAGTGAGAGCCATATTTTATTTTTTATCAGCCAATTGGGGCAACGAAAGGATAACGAGTGATGAGAGGAAGGACTGACAAAAAGGAAGTAGAGAGATGATACACAACCGTACTCCACACCTGCAAATGGTAAAAATGAGAATTGAAAAAGCCACGTGCTACGTGAATGCAAATGAAAAGCATTAGCATATACCGGGCAAGATCTGGTTCAGAAAGACCCAAACTGGAAAAAAAAGTTGTAAAGATAAATCCATTTCATGGTTCAATAAGCCTTTCATCAGATTTGTTAAAAAGAATGAAAAAAACGTTTTTTTTCTCTCTCTCCTTTGAAGGGAAAGAAGAATAACAATGTTTCCGCCAAAGAAGGTTGGAAGAATGAGGCAAAAAGCAGAAAATAGAAGTGGTAGATGGAGAAATCTTTGAGTTAAACAGGTCATTATCACATCAGTAACTGACAATTAGCTATAGGATTGATAATAAGTATTGATTTAGATGAAAAAACCCTTATTTGGTCTGATCTAACATGAAGTTCGTAAGAGCTGTTAAATGGAAAGGATTTACTCGATTTGACGAAACAACTATTAAAGTTTTTCTCTTCTCCCTCACATTGTCTCTCTTCATTTACTTTGCCTTTTTCTCTTTATTCAACTCCCTCTCTCTCTCTTCCTCTCTCTCTTCCCCTTCTTCTGCCCTTTCCATCCCTCTTTGCAGTACAAAGTTTGGCTCTTGAAAAATCTGAATGAAGACGTTAATGCTGAATTTTATGTAAAAGTTCAAATAATTGTTTTAATAGGTTTGAAAGAATGTTCTGAAGAATGGCCTCGTGGGGATGGATGATGAAGCAGAAAAAAAATTTGAAATGAAAGTTAGTAAGGCCACCCTGCATCATGTTTTGCAAATTTCATTCTGACACGAAATTTTGATAGACTTTTATCCTATGCATTCGTTGTGAGATTGCAGATCGCAATGCTTCAATAAGTTGTTGAATAAAAAAAAAGGAGGGAAACGTTCATGACTAATAAGGAATATTTGAGTATTGGGGGGTTGTAAGCTTACCTGGTAACGAGAAACCTTTTGCTGACTTTTCTGTCTCTCTCTCATCAGGTAGTTAACCTAATATGGAATGACAGATGGTCTTAAATGTAAATCTTTGTAACATCTCAATAACGATTTACTACTCCTACACATCTATTCAGAATCAAAATTGCATTCAAGGTAGAAGAACACACGTCGACCGGAAATGTTTTTTTTTTCAATTCGGAAACGACGGGCTCATTGATGAAAAGGACGAAGAACTATGACGTTCAACGACAATTATGAATTTTTCATACAAAAAGTTAAAGAATATCTTTTGTACAAAGTTTTTCTGATTTGATTACGAGAACTTTTCTTTGTTTAGGATGCATTGAGAAAGAAGGAGAAGAAGCAGAGAGAAGCATATTCAAGGAGAGGAGCAAAGGAAGTTCTTAGCAAAATTGGAGAGAGAGAGAGTGAATGTACTAGCATAGAAAGTGTTATACTCCGGAACTTGCAAACATGGAAGATATCCGGAGAAGGAACTGCGTGGAGAAAAAAAATTAAATGGAAACATCATCACAAATCTAATTGCCCTAATAAGTGTTGGAATTTTTCAATAATTTGACAAAGACGGAGAGATTAGCTTGAACAATGAGGATGGAGGTCTCTCTTTGAAGTTAAAACAGAGTGGAAGCAGATATGGGCAAGAATTCATGACGGCTGATGGAATAGGAGCCTTGGGACGGATCACAGATAGGAATGAAGAGAAGAAAGAAACAGAAATGTATAAGAGAATAAGAGAGAGAGAGAGAGGGACAGACAGATAGCTGCTCTTTGAAGAGCTCAAAGGGGTGGAGCTTAGACGTGTTACATGGTGGAGGCGGCATGACTGACAAGATCTCCTTATGGAGAAAAAAAAGATGACGAAGTGAGAAGTGAAAATATAAAGAGATTTGCAAAATCAACAGGTTCCTTTGAAATGAAGTTTTTGAATCTTCAGTTCAAATGTCACATGTCCAAAAAGAGAGAAATGTTTATTGGATATTCTGATAGATGAGTGAAGGATCTTATTGGCTTCGTTTAGAGGAACTGTTTTGACTAAAAAAGGAAGAAAAGGAAGAATGTGATGAGAATCAAGTTATTTGCAAATACTTAAACATAGAAATTCTATTATTAGGTATAATAGTTACTATTATTTTAAAGTTAGAATGACTATGCTCAAGAGTGACAGAGTGGATGATGATGATGATGAGGATAATGATGATGATGGTGTTGATTTAGAAAACAAAAGGTTCAGTTTCTTATAGGCTTTCAACTAGGACTTTTTTCGTTTACTTAACCAAAAATGTGACATAAAAGGAAATAAAGGATGATGAGATGACAGCAGGAGAAGAACCTTACCATTGTCGGCAAATCGTCTTCAGTTTAGGGCAAATACGGTAAGTGACAGAGGGGGCCACACAACGCGATGAAGTATGGATTAAGTAAAACAAAAATATATAATACAATACAAAATATATATCATAACGATTGTAAAGGATACAAGAACATATAAATAATAAGTGGATGAGGGGTGAGGAGGGATTATTTGAAGACGACAGATTGTTTAATGGCATTGTAATTGGCAGTGTTGAGGCAGCCGACAAATCAAAAAGTTCAAAATTCAACATCTTTGATGAAGTTCTCGGAAAAATTTGTAATTTCTTTTCATTGTTAAATAAAATAAGGAAGTCAAAGTACTTTTAAAAAGTAAAAAAGATGGCGATTGAAGCATTGCTGCGATGAGGAGGACAGCCATCCAAGTTGACTGGAAAGTGTGAAAAGCTGGACAATGGTGAGGTGCGCAGTAGGTGGCCATCTCACAACATCTAACCAAATAGATGAAGTGAAGGAACGAAAGAAAGAAAAAGCCATTGGAAAGTTTAAAAAGATTAGAAAAAAAGAGATAGAAGAAAAAAAGACTATTTTGGAAGTAAGAAAATGAAATGTATGGAATTAAACATTCACTTCCATAAATGGAGAAAAAGCTGTCAAAACACTAATCACTGTCCTTCCAAGTATTTCTTTTTTCAACAAAATTTAAGGTCTTTCTTTCGTTCCAAAGCCATTGTATGCATATGTTGTGTGCAAAGCTAAAGCTGGAGAAGAAAGCTTTTGAATGAAAGTTATAAGTTTGAAAAATATAAAAGCTTAGCAGATACAGTTGGTTAGCCCTTGGAAGGAAGTTCAGCTTAATTCCAGCTGTTTCAAACTGCATCGCAAGAACACACACAAACAATGTCACTCTGGAAGAATCAAGAAGAGGGTGGTGGAGAGATGAGAAGAAGAGAGTTAGAGAGATGAACAACTTGCCGGCTACAAATCAAGTAAGAATTGATACAACTCAATGTCCAACAAACGTTTTATTAGACATAAGCTTCAAAAGAAGAGCCTTTTTTTATTTTACGTTCATAGGGGTACAGAGAGAGAGAGAGAAAGACCTGAAAGGGCAGAAGCTATGAACGAACAGAAGTAAGGAATGAAAGGAAAAGTTAAATGAGTGGAAAATCAAACTGATTGAAAGGAATTGAATGTACCTTTGAGTTACTTTGGCGGTAACTTTCTCTCCCTCCTTTCATTGGTCTAAATAAATTTTCTTCTTCAATGACTAAATCTCAATGCATTTCAAGAGATAGTTGACTACACTCTCTAGAAGAATGAAAAGAATAGTTAAAAAGGCAAAAGACGATATGTTTTACGTAACTTATTATAACTTAAAAGCAACAGCGATCGTTCAATTTTCTTCCGGTCTATTGGCCATATAAAGGTTGTGTAAAGTTTCCTACCCAAAAATCATCTAATAAAGCATGGAGGGAAATGACGACCTACCTTTCCTTCCTTTACCTTCTTCCTCTTACCTTCACCTTTCCTCCCTGCTTTCTCTCTTTCTCTATCTCCCTTTCTCTCTCTCTCTCTCACTATTCAACATCCTCCCCCACTATTTTGCATGCCTTGCTCACTCCTCTTCTCACTTAAGTAACTATAAGGCATTTCTTTTATTTGCCAAAACTGCAGGAGTTCATCGTCTTTGTTCAGCTGAGCTTGTTACAAGCTTCATTCCTTTTGTGTAAAATGAAAAATACTAACATTCAATATAATCATATAGCTTTCAATTGTTTCATAAAAATGATTTCCTATTCTATAAAAATCCTAGCAACGACCGAAATATTATAATTATAGTCTTATGATCTATCATAATCTATAATGACACATCTCATCTCATCTTTTCATTTTTTTATTCTTTATTACGAATTGGCGGTATGTTTAACACATTGGATTACATACATACGAATTAATAATTAGACAACCATTTGTCTTATAAATTAGCATAAGTTAAGAACGCGGCTTACGTACATATTACATGGCAGATTGCATACATAACCTCTGACATCTATAGTCTTCATTTTAGCGTCTGCAGACGTATAGAGCGGTTGTGTTCAAATGTATGTCGGAACATATGGAATATTTTCTGGTACTTGTGTTAGATAGATGTATGAAAACGTTCCATCAGCTATGAGGAATAAGCAGAAATTACAAAGTTCTAATGCTTCATTCCATTCGCATCGGCAACATGTGAATTTTCTAAAACAAATCAATGATCCAATCAATTATATTGGTGAGTGAAACCGTTTCGCTAAACACTTTTTGATCAAAGCTAAAGGAGCCAGTGATATAAGTGCTAAGAAAGATAGCAGCAACTGGACCAGCATCCATAAAGCTGAAATGATGTGCTAAGCAATAACTATTTTAATCATATTGCTAACTGATGAGTGGGAAATGTGATGTACGTGGAACTTCATTGACGACAATCGTCAACATAAATAACAATCCTAAAAATCCGGCTAATCCAAAATTAATCTGAAAGAAATAAATAATTAATGGTCGTCTCTATTCTATTTTTTTTGTGCCAAGTCAAGGTATGTGAAAGTCATAGAGAAAGAAAGAGAATCAGACAGCAGCTACCTTTTCACCAATATTCATTCCCAAAGGTAACAGAATTGCTATGAAAATGACGATAGCCATGATGCTTGTTGGAATAATCAGGAAAACAACATAGAATTCTGAATTTCTCTTAAACTTTCCAACACATCCAGTATATTGCTTCATTCCATAATTGGTCTTCATGGTATTGTTTCTAACTGTAACTCCTAGATAATCCCATTCAGGGTTACCCTGCAACATTAAAAGTTAAAAACAGAAACAGAAATTTGAAAAAAAATCAAAAATGAATAAGCAAATACATACAAACAACTCATAATCGTCGACAACAAAATTGAGAAGCATCATATCCATGGCATACCCACCCGTTTCAAAGTCGATTGAGCAGTACTGTGTATCAAATGGAAAGTATTCTGAATATTACAAAGAAATAATATTGTCAAGAAAAATGAATTGTGAACTTACGTACATCTACCGGACAGAATAATTCATAAGTCGCATATAGATATATGAGAGCAGAACCAGTACTGTTTATCTGATTAATCATTATTTTTCTTAGAATGTCATGATTGCAAACGTACCACTAGAGAATACTCATCTACCGTTGTATATTCTACAGACAAGCTGCAATTTATGCAAAAGTCATACAAGCTATACAAAATATGTTTTGAACCTGTTGTAGATCACTATATTTGGTACCCACACCAAGCTTACAGGAAGCATTGCTCGTGGAAATCCATATTCAGTTTCGTTGAAACTCAATCGTTCATCGGTCCATTCCTCAAAAGTCAAAATGATTTCAATTCGTTAGTTGAGAACACGTTGGGTACATAGGTTAAATGACGTTATAAGCCTTACCATAGAGACATAAAGAAGCATTTGAGCTTTCTGTCGTGAATCATCCTGAACAACATAAAATTAAAATGAAAAAGAAACTGTGAACATACCATGTCTACAAGAATTTGAAATGGTACTTGTAATTGAACAGTAATGGGTCTACCCGTGAGTTCCATAGGAGAAATATCTTTATTGTATCCTCTTTGTTTTAAATACTTGTCATAGAAGCTCTCACGTTCACAATCTGTCAAAAAAAAACGATGATAATTTGCTTATTCGTCACTCAGCTAGTATACCTGTTGGAGAAAAAGCAAAGAAGAGCAATATTAGGAATGCACCCATGACGAACGTGTCACAAAACTGAACTCAAAACTTCTTTTTTATGTAAATGTCAAAGCATTTAATTACTTGCAGGTGCTTCTCGTATTCCCTTGAGTAGGAGGTTGTTTCACTTCCTGTTCTCCGGATACGTTTTCATACTTGCAATATTAAAACATTTTTTTTTGTTTTCAATATATATTTGAAGAATTCGCTAAGGAGCAACATGAGTTTTAAGAAATATTTTTTATTTTCATTGATTGAACGAAGCTAGAAAATGATCGACGATACTCTTTACTAAAAGCAAATAGTACGAGTGGGTTAAGTATGGCATGTGATGATATCATACAAGAGCAAAAGCCTGATAGCCAATAGGGTGTTTTGAACTCGGTGAAAACTAAGAGCATTTGAACTATTGGTGGAGCCATAGAACATGCTGTAGGTACAGTTGCCTGTAAACAAAAATGAAAGTGGTTTCAGGTTTCAATGTCGTTTTTTGAATTTCAATCAAAGATCTTTGGCGTACCTGACAGACCAAAAGCCAAAAGTAGTGGTGAGGTCCGGTGAAACCACTACTAAGCGCCGGAGTATCACGCAGCTTATATAAAATCCTATTGATGCATATAAAAGTTATCAATACAATGATCATTACTAAACTAATATTGAAATAATATAAATAAATTCGTTCATAGGCACGTGTTTCATCCTGTAATTATAGGTTTAATTATACGCGAACTATGCTCATGAATACAAAAGAGAGAAAGAAAGAAAGTTTTACTTTAAAAACGAAGCCAGCAAATCCTCGATTACGTAATTCAGTAACACCAAAGATGTTCAAGCCATCACTCTCATACAGCCGAATCATTTTCTGTGTTCGTGTAAATGTGCAAATGACCATTATACAGAGAATGACTAAAGACGACAATAACAAACTCAAAACAGTCGTTCGAAAATTTGATAAATATTTCATTATATTTGGTCTTAACAAATCGAAGTGTCATGTTATAACTTGAAAATAAAACAAACGCACCGACATACTTGTATATAACGAAAAAAGAATCCATACGATGAAAGCACTAAGTTCATATATAGAATACAGGCATATGCAAGAAATACAGCTTGTCCATATTTGGAGAGACTAACTAATCCATTTGATACAATAATTCCACCTTGATGGCCACTTATCCATACCTAGATTGAACTATCAGTTATACATAGTAATGATAGATGGTGATATGAGCATGAGCATATAACTTACGGGATTATTCAAAGCGTAGAGTAATGCTGAGATTATATCTTTGACGGCAAAGGCAATCATAAACAACTTGTACTTGCCCGATGAAGTTGATGGCGAACGATAAATAAGAAATAAAAAAAAACTATTAATGACCATTCCAGCTGGACTAATGATATAAGCACACGCTTCATAGACGTTCATCAGCAGCTACTGTCGCGAGCTTCTTTCTTGTGCAAGCTCTTTGTTCATTTATATAGATCACAATACACTAGAGAATAACTTTGTGAGGACAAGTTGTAGTTCTTGATTTCATAATGACTTTGTGCGAAAGAAAAATACATTTCTTTTTCGTTTTCAAAATGTTCTGCCTTCCAACACGTATAAGTACGCAAGTTGAAGTTTTCATTCTCAACAGGAATAGAATCAGAGTGCGGTTGCGTTCCAGACGTTCAGTAGTGATACATAAACATTACCGTCATAGAAACAGAATACAATTTTGTAAAATATCAAAAATAGTTTCAAATCATATTGCAGAGAACTCTCTAGCCTCTTAAACACTCAATCTTACTCATGAGAGATGCTGCAGAAGATGCTGAGGAACATAAAAGTAAGAAATCACTTTCGATTGTTTCATCCATTTTTTCTGCAGACAAATTATGTCGTCTTTCTCTCTTTCTTTCTTTTTTTTTCTTCCAATCACCCTCTTTCTCTCTCAATCATTCTCTCTGAAGCAATGGCAGCTGGCCAATATCTTGAAAATGCTTGGAGGTGGGAAATGAGGAGAAGAATCTTTTCAATCATTCTACCACCACCGTTCTAACAGCAAACTGCTTGCAACTCTTTTTTACAAATGAAATATATATAATGGCTTTGTACGGATGATTTGAGTGCTCATATTCAAATTCTTGCCAAATGGTTCAGGCGTTGTCACGAAAGACGAACTTCTCTGTGTCTGAGAGACAATGAGAGAGAAATGGAAATCTTCTGTTGGTTTTCCGTCTTATTTATGAGACAGCCGATTAGCACTTTCGCTTCTGACTAGGATTTGAGCTTTTCCCAGATTTTCTCATTCATCAAAATATATTTTAAATGAAATATTCGCTTCTTTTTTTTTTCGTTTTTATGTTGGCTCATTTTGCTCTTTGATCACATGCATGTTTCCATATTTGGCATCTACAGAAGAATGTCCGTCTGAAAAATTATGTTTTTTAACTTTCTGCTGTTTCTTCTGATTGGCACGATATGCACTGAAGCGGGAGAACTTGTCGACTCGCGTGTCCATATTGAGAGGTTATGGGAATTGAACACAAAGACAAGTGTAAGTATTCACGTTCACTTCTGATTCAGCTATTTGTACTCACATTTTTACGTTCTTTTCTACTTTTTTTCCTTTTGAAGGATCTGCACATCACTTTCACATTAGAGCAAGGACTTGTCGGATATGATATAACCTCTAAGTCGCCTGTAGTTTATAATAAAACTAAGGTTATTCCACCTTTTCATGAAGCTTACTTCGATTTCAAAGCTTACACTCAACAAGGTCCAACAGAAGCATCTCTAAACAACGAGATTATCATTGGAATCAGAAGAAGGTTTTTACTTCCTCTACTTTGATTAATCATTCGGCTATGTGTTGTGGTCTGGGTGTGTGTGTATGTGCTTTTGCTAGAAATTTATCTTTTTTTGAAAATCAATGCATGTGTGTGATAGATAGTCATGCACATCAGACAACTGCCAGAAATATTGAAAACTTTTTATTTCGAATGTCATTTTTACACTTTTTAAGATTCGAAGCAACCATAAGCTGTCTTCATAATGATCAATTTCCTTTTGACAGACAAACCTGCACATGGAGACTTATTATTTGTACATTTTTGTATTTGTTTTCATTTTAATACAAATTGGTTTCAGTGGGTAAATCTAAAGATCAGCTGGATCTCCGATGGGCTACGAAGCCGTTAGAGAGCCATGACTTAGCTTTACCTCAATTTATAGTTGAAAAGGTCGTTCCTACAATCGTCCTAACTTCATACCTATTAGAATGCCTTCTTTAGATTTCACCCATCACTTGCGTGCACGAATCCACTCTACCGTCAGCTTTTACCTCAACATCTACACATGGTTTGTTTTCTTCTTTTTTTTTTTTTAAAGAGGAAGAAACACCTTTGGCACTGCAATCAACTGCGCTGATTCTTCGTACAAGCACAACCAAGGCATGAACACAGTATAAAATATGAAAAACTAGAACGGAATTGGCGTGTGGTTATTAATCTTTTTAATTTTAACAGTTCTTCACGGATGTCTTTCTGTCGTCATGGAATTTCGTCGTTCGATGACCATTCCATTAACACGTCTCTTTATTCCAACGTCATTAGCTCTTTTCCTGTCTTGGCTATCGCTCTATACAAAGCGTTCCGATCTCTTAGCTCGAATAATTTTGCCAATTTCTTCTATAATCATCCAAATGCTACTGGTATGTTCAGTTTTCTCGTTTTCTCATTCAGAGCTACTTTCTCGTCAGGCTTTGAACTATCTGTCAGCCGTGACCATTTCAACAACTTTGACCCCAGCAGATGTTTGGTGCATTTTATTGACTGCTCAATGTGTTTTGGTTATTTTCTTGGTTCGTTTCATTTCACAGGTTCATTCTCAGAATTTTTCCATTGTTCAGTTGTTTCTTATTTCGATAGTGGAGAATAAGTCGAAAAAGTATCTGGATCTAGCTGAGGATGATAAGACAGTTCGAAAACAGAGCAAGGGACGTCATCATCGTCTTGCTATGAAGCAAATACCGTACAAAAGAAACCAAGAAGAGGTACTACATTTTGACTGAACGATTTGAAGAATTAATTTGTCAGGAAAAGTGTCTTTCATTTGAAGAGGTGATGTCTTGCGAGTTCCGTAAGAAGTCTGATTCGTACTCACTGGCTGCTGTTCGCATTCAAATTGTAGCTCGATTTTTATGTCCTCTAGTTTACATTTCCTCAACTGTTCTATTCTTTTTATTATATCTTGTTAAATTCTTTTAGTATAATAGTCTTTTCATTTTAATTGAAAACAAAATACCCGACAAGAAAGAACTATCAAAATGAAAATACCCTTACAATGCCCTTCTAAGCTTTCTTTGCCTTAACCGTCGTCGGCCTAACTTTGTAAGTAATCAGTTTGTATGCAAACAGAAATAGCAATAAACCCGTTGTGAACCAGATCAGCAAAACATCTACACAGTAGTATTGGAATATAGTCAGTTCTACGTCAGGAATGTTCAAAATCTAAAATGAAAGTGCTCTATTGCGTCAGCCGATTGTCTTACGAACCTCGTGCAGATTATCATTTTCTCCAGCAAACTCTACATGTTCCACAAAACGTTTCTGCATTTTCTCAGAATTTCCTTTGAGAATGTGAGCTAACCGCTTCGTTCTTTCTTTGTATCTAAGAGAAAGAGATGAAAGAAATGAACGAGAAGAAGAGAGCAATTACAAGGGATTTTGTAAAATCTGATGTAAAGCATAGGTTATATCGCTTTCCGTTATTTTAGTCTTCGATAATTGGACGGCTATTCCCTTCTCAACTGCTAAAATAGGAATTTATATGTTGACTATTAGATATCTTTGAAGAAATGAAATCTCACCACATCTGGCATTGTGCGGCTGATCAGCAAAAAGTGGAATTGCAATCATAGGGACTCCGCCGTAACAAGCTTCTACTAGTGAGTTCAAACCCATGTGGGTAATAAATCCAACAACCCTCTGATCATCTGGAAATTCGTTTTCTTCTTTGCAAATTTTTTTTTCTTATTGAAAATCAGGGAGAACACAAACGAAAGCCACGTACGTAATAAATCAGTTTGAGGCAGCCAATCGACAAGCACTAAGTTAGAGACATCGTCGAACATGTTGCCATCAACCTCTTGTTTCTCATATTTCCAGATGAAGGTATAGTTTGAAAACTTTTGTACCGCTCTCACAAAGTTCTGCTTCAGATACATTGGGATTTTGTGAGATGGAACTTGTGTTCCAAATGAGAAGATGATAGAGCCTGATGGACGTCGGTTAAGCATTTCTTCATACTCCTTCAGGCAAAGTTATATATGAGATGTACATCAAGAGAAATTACCGTTGAGAGAGCCTTGTGCTTGGGTAGAGCTGCTCCTCCTATATAAACAACCTTATGACTTATAGAACGAGGTCTTTCTATAAATTCGTTTGTATTTACAAATACATAATCGGAATCTTTAAGTAGACGTCTTGGAGATGGAAAGTTCTCTCCATAAATAGATCTAACAGCTTCATTCTAAAAGATGATTAGAAAAAATATAAATTGAATTTAGAACCCACAGCAGCGGCATCTAATTTATTATGGGTAAAGAGATAGTAATATGTAATTCTCCAAAGAGCTTTCATTCTTCCCATTAAGGAGAATGAGGCTTTTGGATCCAAATTATCTGAACAAAAAATTGTAAGAGAGAAAAAGAAAGTTCAAGAGAGAAGCACATTTAAATTTATTTGAAAATCTTACCCTGTACTACACTGACGGAACTAGGCAATCCTAGGCTTATAGTCTGCTGAGCCAATAGACTTGTTGCTGAGTAAGCCAAAACGGACTTGATTTGAGCTTTGTAGCCGAGCACATGCCCACAAAAATCATAATCAGAGACCAATAGAACATCGTATTTCTTACGCGTCAAGAATTCCAGAGGCTCATTAGATCTAAGACCGACTGAAACATTAATGTTGCATTGATGTTGCTTATCAATCTCTTTTTTCTTCCTTTTCGTTTAGTCTTGAGTTGATTCGAGAACAATACAAGGGCATTCTGATTATCTTATCGCTCATCATAAAGCTTACTTTTGCATAAATTTGTTGTAATTATCCACATAGATGCTCGATCAAATTGTTCGAATTCTTTGAATGGATCACTCAAATGGTTCATTTGAAGCCATGGACTGTCATCATTTGGAAATCCGAAC